CTTCGGAGTCTCCCGACGCTCAGCTGGGGGAAAATGGTGCCTATGGGGAAAACATCGCAAAGCGATTTTTCCCCATGGGCAACATCGGTATGCGATCGCAAAAGCGATGGCAAAAATGCCATCGCTATGCGAATTCGTCGTTAAACGGGGCACTCGTTATACGAGGCACCACTGTATATAGTCTAATTTTCTAGCAGTTCTAGTAATGCATGTGGAAACAATTTTATTTCTGTGTTTTTTTCCTTTTCCTTTTTTACTTCTAATTTTTTTTCTTTTCAATGGGGGTAGGATTATGGGGAAGGGGATTTAATGTTAGGTGGTTGGCATGGGTAGGGTAAAATTCCAGACAGTGAGATAGTACATTTACATCAACTTGTACAATTATACGAGAGAGAGAGATAAAAAGAAAAAAAGGAAATTTTCCAGTATTACTGTAGCTACTAATCTATTTATTCCCTAATTGGACCTTCATATTCTTCTTTAATCTATGCTTTTCCCGGCTATCTTTAAAGTTTAATTATGAAATTATTCCCTATACATCTACCAAATATAATAAAAGTCTCCTCCTTTGTTTTATGTTTCCCACTCTATTTAAAAACATTTTATATCTTTTTAAAAAAAAAACTTTGTTGGCATTGTGTACTATCAGTAAATCATATATCATCTGTAAAACATCTGCATTTTCTACCATTTTATACCCATTATATCCTACAGTCTAATCATTTTATTCATTTAATCCGTTTTTATTGTTGAAGTTTTCCTTCCTCCTGTATCCTTGTTTCTATAGTGTGCTTTCCTTGAGAGCTTTTTGCTTGCTCTTCTGCTCTAGTCGAGCTTCTTTCTGCCTCTGATCCTGATGATCCACTCTTGTCGTTTCTCATCTGCTTTTTTCTCCTCTTTTCTCCCCAGCCCTTATTTTCATAAAATCTTCTATCTTCCTTTTTGAGTTAATATAATAACTTTGCTCCTGGAATTCAAAGAGGACACCTTCAGGCACCAACCACTTATACATAACTGAGTTTGTTCTCAAGAGGGATGTCAGCTCCTCATATTGTTTCCTTTTCTGTCTTATTTGCCACGGAATATGTTTCACGATCTTAATTTCTTTATATTTTCTATTAAGTTCCTTGCGTTGTATATTTCTTAGAACTTTATCTCGAAATATCTTTCTCGTAAATGTAACATGAATTTCTCTGGGGAGATTTTTATTCCTGGTGTATGCTGTATTAATTTTTCGTGCTGTGTCTATATTTTGTTGCACATCCTCTGGTTGCTTCTCCATGAGCGATGCTAAATAAGTAGTAATCACTTCCTAATCGTCTTCTTTTTGTTCTGGTAGATTCTGGAATCTACCATGTTTCCCCGAAAATAAGACAGAGTCTTATATTAATTTTAGCTCCAAAAATGCATTAGGGCTTATTTTCAGGGGATGTTTTATTTTTTTCATGTACAACAATCTACATTTATTCAAATAGTCATGTTATCTTCTTCTGCACAATGCTGCACAATGGTGGAGGGCAGGGTTTCACTTAACGGGGGTTTATTTTGGGGGTAGGGCTTATATTACGAGCATCCTGAAAAATCATAGATCTTATTTTCAGGGTAAGTATGGCATTGGTTCTTTCCATTTGTAGATTTAACAGTAATTTCATCTTCCTTGCTTTCCCATTTTAGCTCTCCCATCTCTGTATTCAAGGTCTCCAGTCTTTTTTTCTGTTCTTTTTGATGTCCCATCAATTTGTTTTTTATTTTCTGTAATTTGATTTTTAATATCAGTCATTTGCATCCCTAAATCTTTCATTTGTACACATAGCTGAGCCATTGTAGTTGCTGTAGCCCTGTTGATAACATTTCTTGAATACTCTGCTGCCAATCCTTAAATGACTCTTGCCCCAATATCCTACTGAGATTCTCATCCTGTGCCGGCGAGCCTCTTTGAGTTCTCTCTTTTCCACCTTTTGTTGCAGCTGTCTTCTTTTTCTTTAAGAGGTGCTGTTTAAGTCTTCTGTCAGCAGATGTCGCTGTAACCTTACTTTCCTTTCTCAGTCTTATTTACATGTCCAGTCCAAGAGGAGCTTCCCTCTGGATAGAAAGTTCTCACAGTCACCAAGTCACAACAATAAAAATTTAAAGGATCCACAATGCTTTGAAGTAAATAGGATTTGTATTAATATTTCAGGTAGTCACAGGAACGAGGCTTTTAACTTTCATGGCAAGGTAGTTTTCTCCCCCTTCTCCCTTTTTCACCTCTCTCTTCTTCTCCTCCCAATCCAAACCCGGGGGGGGGGGCTCGCTTCTACCGTGACAGTAAGATCTTTTAAAAGGTAAAGTCCATTTTGTTTGCCCTTTATATCTATCTTTCTGTGTAGTTATTTGGGTCCATGGAGATTTTCCTTACATGAACAGATATTTCAACTCACTCAGAGTCTCTGGTAGACATATTTCCCACATCCTTTTGCACTCTCTCACTTTGGGCTTGAAGTGTTCCAGCTCTTTGCCTCCTTGGTCCGTGCGATCAGATGTGACTTCGGAGGAAGAACCAGCCTTCACTGATCCCATTCCCCCCCCCTTTTTTTGTCATCTCTGCTGCTTCAGATGCCATTTCTCCTAGAGGCATCCTTCCCTCCCCATGGTTTGGGAGGGGTGGATCTGAGGGGTCAAAGTCAGTTTCAGGAGCTTGCCTGAAACCTGACCTGTTCTTCCGTGATGAAAATCCCCTTTTTTTCCTTTTCGCGTGTTATATATACAGTATAGCATTTGCTATTAGCTATGGTTTTCAGATTCCAAGGGGGATTTGGAACCAATCTCCCTCCAGTGGTTATGGGGTACTGCAGAACGGAGAGAAATGCTAGTATTAAAAGATAACTAGCAATTAATTTTTTTATTCCCATCTAGACTTTCAAGTGTGTTTTGATCAGAGAAAGACAATACGATTCCATTATAGTTTTCTACAATTTGGTGTTCATGCAGAGACTGAAAACTAATATTTTGCAATATGCTTCCAACAGGGTAAGTAATTGTACTTCTGTCCTATGTCTAATGTAAGTCAAATATAGTTAGCAAAACTATCACAGCACTGATTTTAAATTATTATATTACAGCCTCCAACATTGTCACCCATTCCACATATTCCTAAGAGCCCTTACAAGTTTTCTAATTCTCCTTTGCGTGTCTCTGCGGGAAATAACATTTATATCTCACCTTTGAAGAGTCCCTACAAATTTTCTGAAGGATTATCATCACCCACCAAAATGACGCCAAGAACAAGGTTGGTACCTCATATTACTTCAAAAGCCAATTAAAAACTTGGCTCTTTAGGCAGGCCTTCCCTCCTGCCCATACTTGATTTACTTTTCTTGGTTTTTGAAGTTTATCCTCCCATCTTGATTATAGTATTATTATAGATTTTATTGTTGTTTTTATCTTTTTGTAATATATTGTGAGCCGCCCTGGGTAGACTTCTGTCTAGAAAGGCAGGATAAAAATCCAATAATAAATAAATAAATAAAAATACTTCATTTTGTTATATGTGATCAGTTAGGAAAAAGAACTTGCTTTTGCAAGAAATGTTATAGCGTGTTTCCCCGAAAATAAGCCCTACTCTGAAAATAAGCCCTAGTATTATTTTTCAAGATGATTGTAAAATAAGCCCTACCGCCCCAAATAAGCCCTAGTTAAGTGTTGACGCCACCGCCACCACCCTCTTCTCATCCGGGCTCGCTGGCTTCGGGATCCCACCCTCTTCCACACCACACCGCCCCCTCCACTGCTGCCATTGTTTCCCGCAAAACAAACCCAGCGCCCACCAGCCCCAAGGGGAGTTTCAGCCCAGACATCGCCACCGGAGGAACCTGAGCCACCACCATGGCGTCTGAGGCACCCCTGGAGGAAGTGGCACCAGGGACATTTAAGGAAGGGGAAGAAGAACGGGAATAATAATAATAATAATAATAATAATAATAATAATAATAATAATAATAATAACAATAACAATAACAATAACAATAACAATAACAATAATAATAATAATAATAATAATAATAATAATAATAAATGATGGTGATGGTGATGGTGATGGTGATGGTGATGGCATTTGAAGAAATGTAGATTGTTGTTCTTGAAAAAAATAAAACATCCCCGAAAGGCTGTCATCCTATTGTCCTAGCTTTTACATCTCATTCATCTATTACTTTTTGACATCTGTTTCAAAAGTAATAACTACTTTATTTGTTCTTGTTTCTACAGAATATTGGTTTCAATAGGTGAATCCTTTGGGGTGAGTTACCTTTTTTAAAAAAAATAAATGTTTAAAGCAGATGTACACCATTAGAAAGAAATTATGTATTACATAGATGTCTGAAAGCAATTTTAAGATTTCTTAAATTAACCTGATGGAGACTGCTGTCTGTGTTGGAGGAAGAACAGGTGATGATACTTGGTGCTGCTTTCCTGTCAGAATTGTTCTCAATTTTTATTCCTGCAGGAAGAAAAGAAATCTGGCAACTATTTTTCTTCTCTATTATTGGGGTTGAAGGATTAGCTTGAGCAAGGGCATTTGTGACAGTTAAAAAACCACTAGCAAGGACACAATTAAAACAGTCCTCCTCCCTTTGTTTCTGGCTGCATCTTGCAAGTGAACCGAAAGAGTTGAGTGTTAGTTTGCAAGAGAAGTAGGACAATCCAAAAATGAGTCAGTGGTTTCTACAGTCATGGCCAAAAATATTGGCACCTTTGCAATTCTGTCAGAAAATGCACCCCTTCTCGCTGATAATTGTTGCAGTTGCAAATGTTTTGGTACTCATGTGTTCATTTCTTTGGTTTGCGTTGGAACAACAAGCAAACAAACAAGAAGAAAAGTCAAATCTGATACAACCCCACACAGGAACCAAAAAATGCACTGGCCAAAATTATTGACACCCTGTCTAAATTGTAAGAAATAATTGCTTTTCAAGCTTGTGTCCTCCTTTAATTTGTATTTAGACACACCTGTCGCAAGTAAGACGTGTGGGCAATATAGTAATCACGCAACCAGTTAAGATGGAGAAATGTTGACTCAACCTTTGTGTTGTGTGTGACACTGAGCATGGAGAAAAGAAGGAGGTGTAAAGAGTTGTCTGTAGATTTGAGAGAAAAAAAATTGTGGAAAAACATCGACAATCTCAAGGCTACAAGTCCATCTCCAGAGATCTTAATGTTCCTGTGTCCACTGTACGCAATATCATCAAGAACTTTACAGCCCATGACACTGTAACTAACCTCCCTGGACATGGATGGAAGAGCAAAATTACTGAAAAATTACAATGAAGGGTTATTCCAATGGTGGATACAGAACCCAGATTAACTTCCCAACAAATTCAAGCTGATCTTCAGACAACAGCGTACAACAGTGTCAGCTCGCACTATCTGTCGCCATCTGAATGAAAAGGGACGCTATGGTAGGAGACCCAGGAGGACACCACTGCTGACACAAAGGCATAAAATAGTAAGATTGGAGTATGCCAAAACTTATGTGATAAAACCACAATCCTGGGAGAATGTACTGTAGGCAAATGAGACAAAAGTAGAGCTTTTTGGTCAAGGACATCATGGCACTGTTTACAGAAAAAGAAACGAGGCATTCAAAGAAAAACACACAGCTACAGTCAAACATGGTGGAGGTTCAAAGATGTTTTGGGGTTGCTTTGCTGCTTCTGGCACTAGATGCCTTGACTGTGTGAACGGTATCATGAAATCTGATGCTTACCAAAGAATTTTGGGGTGCAACATAGTGGCCAGTGTCAGAAAGCTGCATCTCCACCAGAGGTCATGAGTCTTCCAGCAGGACAATGACCCGAAACACACTTTCAAAAGCACTAAGAAATGGTTACAAAGTGCTGGAGAGTTCTGAAATGGACAGCAATGAGTCCAGATCTTAATCCCATAGAACACCTGTGGAGAGATCTCAAAACAGCAGTTGGGAGAAGGCATCCTTCAAATCTGAAGGCCCTGGAGCAGTTTGCAAAAGAAGAGTGGTCCAAAATTTCAGAAGAGAGGTGTAAGAAACTCATTCATGGTTACAGGAAGCGATTGATTTCAGTATTTTTTTCAAAGGGGGTGCTACCAAATATTGTTAATAATTTTGGCCAGTGCATTTTTGAGTTTCTGTGTAGAATTGTATCAGATTTGGCTTTTCTTTTTGTGTGTGTGTGTTGCTCCAACACAAACCAAAGAAATTAACATGGGAGTACTAAAACATTTGCAACTGCAACAATTTTCTGAGAAGGGCTGCATTTTCTGACAGAATTGCAAGGGTGCCAATATTTTTGGCCATGACTATATCTAGTTGAACCAGCTACATCTGCAACTGAAAAGACATTGCAACCTCGGTGGTGCTGATCAGAGGAAGGAGAAAGAAAAAATAGAAATGAAACAAAAGGGTCTAAAAAAGAGGGCTCTGGTTTCTGTCACTGAATGTTGCCTCAGGCTGACTTCTCCTGTAGCTTTCTAGAAAAGCAGCTTCCCATATCTGGTCTAAAGGTTATGGTACACTGGATGAATTGTTGGCTCTGTGGTTGAGAGAAAATGAAATTCATGATGTTAATGAATTTGTGTTGAAAGAGATGACGAGGAGCAATGCTTGAAAGCAGCTGGGACACAGAATGTTGGGGTGTTGGTTTGAGGAGGGGGAAAAGGGAAATGAAGGATATTGAAAGTGGAGATGAACCTGTAAAGTCCCTAACAGTGATAGGATGAATGAGGTTTGGAAGCAGATAGTCATTTAGGTAACAAAATATATGGAGATGGTCCTAGATTAAGAGGGAAATTATTTCCTTTTTCTGGGACTATTCCACCCTCTACTATATAGCAAAAAATATTCAGGTGTGATATTGGCCATCAGTTCCAAATCTGTCAAACCCTTTTTACTAGTGCAAAATTTCTACCACAAGTCAAGCCTCCTGCAAATTGTGCATAAGGACTCCCTTCTCCTGAACAAAACCGCTTCTAGGGGATTGAAGGACACTGTAATAGTGGTTACAGGACCAATTCAACATTTTACTTTTTTAAAAAAATTAGAAGAGTTACATTTAGTCCACATATACAGTGGTGCCTCGCTTAACGGGTGCCCCGTTTAACGACGAAACCGCATAGCTTTTGCGATCGCTTTGCAATGTTTTAAATAGGGAAAAATCGCTTTGCGGTGATCGGTACCCTGTTTCGCATACCGATTATCGCATAGCCATGTTTTTTTAACAGCTGATCAGCGATTCCAAAATGGCCACCCACTGTTTTCTGGAATGGATTCCTCGTTTACTGGGCAGCGAAAATGGATTTTCGCTTTAAAGTGAGTTTTAAGCTCGTAGGAACGCATTGAAGGGGTTTCAATGCATTCCTATGGGCTTTTTAATATCGCATAGCGACGAAATCGCTTTGCAGCGATTTTTCCGGAATGGATTATCGTCGCTATGCGGGGCACCACTGTACATCTACTGTGATCATTAACACTACACTCCTTCTAAATCTTATCTGAAGAAAATAAAAGATTATTTAAATAGGGCTATTCAGCACTTACTATTTATCACATTTTTAAGATGAAACATTAAATTTGAGTTATGTATCATCATGGGTATTTCTAGACATCTGAGAAGTTTCAGAAAATAAACCAGATGGTGTGTACTAATGATCGTCAGTTGAAACGTGGAGCTGAAGTAAGCATAGCTCCCAAACCTCTGAAGAGACTGCGTTTTGATACAGAAGGACAGGATGAAGCAGATGGAAGGTGTGTTTATTTTTAAATTGGCTTTTCCATTCTGTGAATTATACTGTTTTTAATTTATTATGTTTTTAGAAACATGATCAAAATAATATATTGATTAGTGCATATATTTTGTACATACTGATGCCATAATTCAACAGAATAATAGTACAGTCTCAATTGGTTTTATATCAATATCTGCTCAGAGAGAGAGAGAGAGCAATCTCTATTGAACTGTTTTTCCATGATTGCACTTAGTGTCACCGCACAGCTTATCTTTGTATACTCGCGTGCAGATTCTGAGATATGTAGAACTGTTAAAATGTTCTCTTCTCAGTTAGAAGCAACATTAGTGGTAAATCATTTTTGCACACTTACAAAATTAAGCATTTATATAGCACTTATGTTAAATGTCCCCAGTAAGCTAGAAATATTCTCTGTAATTTGCATCTTTAAAGGATTGAATTAATGTCAACCTGAGAGTTGTGTAATTATTTTTTAAAATTTAAAGCATCTTGCTTGGGTTCTCCAAATAATAAATGGCAGAAAACCTGCACAGAGATGCAAGTGTACATTGAAAAACAAGTGAATTCAGTCACTCCCAACTCCACTGTACCCCAGCAATGGAATCTGTGTTTCAGGTGGCTTAACATTGTAAAGTGGATGGTACACCCTCTTTGCTCTCCTGGGTCACAAGACATGTACAGCGTCCTTTGGATACAATCATATCCACTACTGAAATAATTTCTCTCCTGACATTTCTAGGGAGCACCTTTCTGGAGAGTCAAAGTTCCAACAGAAGCTTGCGGAAATGAGTAAGTATTCCTAGCAATGACAGCCCTGGATAGAGAAGGGGGTTGTTTGGCTGATTTCTTAAAGCACGTATCAGGATCCAAAGAAACTACCAACTAGGTCCAAGTGCCCAGTGGTTCTTTTGGGCTTAGGAGAGCAATAGCATATGGCAAACTATGCTGTGACACTTACTTCATAGTTTGCAATACATCGTTTCTGTAATTAGCCCAGAAGAACTAGTGGGTACTTGGTCTCAGTTTACAGTGTGCGCTAAAGGAAGTTTAAAAGCAGTTTTGGGGGAGGCAAAGAGCCTACTGCTTACTGAGGAAATGTTGATGTATTTAAAAGGTACACCTTCATGTATGACAAAAATAATTTTTGGATACCAGACATTACATTCAGCACTGTAAACATTTGGAAATTATACACACTTGGGTGTTTTTGTTACTAGGCTGTGAACATAATAAACCAGAGGGAAAAGACTCTAAGGCCTGCTGACTTGTAGCAAGAAATGTCTGTCTTGATGACTTGGCTATTCCTTTTCATTATCTATTATGTTAACTGCCAAAGGAAATACACTCAGTAACGTATTGCTTGTCAGCTTACTCTGTGTTCTTGTTTACCTGCTTTTCCAGTTATATTGCAGTTATCAAGTTGTTAGTTTTACAAAACCAATGCTAATAGTTTCTTCTTTTTTAAATCGTGTGTAAAAAATTAAATGTTCCCTTCATCACAACTTAGATTCTGAATATTAGGCTAACATTTAAAAAAAGATGTCATACTTGTTTCTCTAGCATCTACTCGGACCCGAATACAAAACCAGAAACTCGCTGATGGAACTGACACTTCAACAAATGGCTAGAAGTGAATGGCCATTCAGACCCAATTACATACACTGCATGCTTTGTTGATTTCTGCTGTTACCTTCAGCTTGTCCAGTATCCAATTTGGATGTTTTCGGTGTTTTATACCATAGGATGCAGCATGTATGCTATGTTAGCTAGTGAATTGTTAATTTATATAGATTAGTTTTTAAAGGCAACATTGCTTTGCTTCCCTGTGCAGCATTTTTGTTTGATACTATTTCATTCTACTTAATACCGATCTCCTTTGTTTAAAACAAAGAAATTTAAAAATTAAGTAGTAGTGCTTGCACTAATGAGGTGGTATATAAATCAAATGAAGAAATTAATTAGTGAAAATGCACTAGTGTTTTGTTACAAGATTAATATTAGATGGAATGCACTATTTACTTATATTATGCATTAGACTTCCAACTCATCAAGCAGGTTGCAAGTTTACAACTGCACATGTCATCAGAATTGCCTTGCAGAACTAAGTCTGATGTACACTAAAGTATGAATATTGACCATGATTTGAAACTCAGTGGACTGAATCTACAGTTGAGTTTAGTGCAACTGCATTCAATAGAGGCCAGATCAAATCCACTGTATCACTATGCTACTGAAATAAATCCCCTTTATGAAACTGATATTTCCACATTTTTCTTTCTGCTAAAACATGCACATAGACTGCTTTTTGTTAGCCTGCTTGAATTTCACTGTAGCATTATTGAGACATTTGGAATGGTTGAAATACAAAATGCACAAATATGCATATTTTTCTGTATCAGGAAGAAAGAAAAATTATTGGCTGGTCTAAATGCATTGGTTTCATGCAAATCTGTAGTTTGCTTATTAAAAGAAAACCCTGTGGTTTTATTTAAGACACTGGCTAGAGAACAATTATCTTTCTATAATTATGTATTCTGGCAGTATTGTTCAGTTTGGAGGTATTAATCTATATACTAATGAATATTGCTTCTTTAAGGATTAATAAAATATTTTTAAAGAAAGCATGCGTAATATTTGATAGTATAAGAACTTTAAGTTGTGGAAATGACATAAAACATTCCTGAACTTGGTCTTTTTAGTGTGGAGCTAGTAAAGCTCTGTTGGTCCTTTTTTTCCAAATGTAGAAAGAATCCTATTTGTCCCGTTCACTTGAATGGTGTTCTGTTCTGTAAGCCCAATTGACTCAGAGTGATCTACAGCTTGGGCAGTGTCTGTGATCTTCCAGCAATCTTATGTGCTGGCATACAGCAACAGGATATGTTCCTCATTCATGCTAGGTGTAACCTAGCTTGTAGTTAAGGAGAACTGAAAAATTTTGTATGCCATTACAGTAAAGATCTATAACAGCATGTAGTGAGTTTGAGGCAGACAAACTTATATTACAGAATAATGGCTGGGTGATTTAACAGGTCATAATTCACATATATGGACACAAAATTGTTCAGGTGATTCATTATATGGTGCAAACACCCAACCAAAGGGCTTGGGTAATATATTGAACACTGAAATTCAGTAATAATGGTTTCATAGGAAGCATAAAATATAGACACAATAGTATCCTAAAAATGCTGAAAACCATATATTTAACAATGCAATTTATGTTCAAGTAAATTAGTTTGCAGCCTTAAGCACCATTTAAATTCCACTGTCTGTGTTAGGCATATTTGAAAGCATTTTACCTGATTTTGAAGAAATAAGAAAAAAGGGGGGGAAGCGGCAAAAAAGGCCAGTATGGCTTCACAAAAAAAAACACAAAAGACATGTACAGGAAGTGGAAAGAAGGCCAGGCCACTGAGGATGAGTACAGACAAGTAGCAAGTAAATGCAGGGATGGCATTTGGAAGGCAAAAGCTGAAAATGAGCTGAGGTTGGCTAGATAAACTAAAAGCAATAAAAAAGCATTCTTCCTGTGAGTAGCAAAAGAAACAAAAGATATAGTGCCACAGCTCTGCAATGGAGATGGAAAAATGATAACAGGACAAAGAAAAGGCAGAGATGCTCAATTCCTATTTTAGTTCTGTCTTTTCCCATGAGACAAAATGAACTTCCAAACAAATTGGAAGTGCAAGGGGGGACAGGATTACAGCTAGAAATAGATAAACAAAGAGTCAGGGAATACCTTATCACCTTGAATGAGTTCAAATCTCCAGGGCGAGATGAACTGCATTCGAGAGTACTGAAGGAACTGGCTGAAGAACTCTCAGAACCGCTATCCATTATTTTCTTGAAACCATGGGAAATGGGTGAGGTGCCAGAGGCTTAGAGAAGGGCTAATGTTGTCCCTATCTTCAAAAAGGGCAAAAAAGAACAACCTGGGAACTACAGGCCAGTCAGCCTAACATCAATCCCAGGTAAAATTTTGGAACAGATCATAAAGCGGTCACTGTACAAGCACCTAGAAAGCAATGCAGTAATAACTAGAAGCTAACATGGATTTGTCATGAACAAATCCTGCCAAACTAATTTGATCTCATTTTTTGATCAGGTCACCTCCCATACAGACAGAGGGGATGCTGTAGACGTAGTACTGTATATCTTGACTTCAGCAAAGCTTTTGACAAAGTGCCCCATGATATCCTGATGAGCAAGCTAACTAGGTGTGGGCTGGATACATCAAGTGTCAGGTGGATACACAATTGGCTACAGAATTGTATTCAGAGGGTGATGATTAATGGGTCCTTCTCTAACTGGGATGAGGTAACAAGTGGGGTACCCCAAGGCTCAGTCCTGGGCCCAGTGCTCTTCAATATTTTTTATTAATGTTCGCAATCATCCCAGAGTGCAGGACATGCAACAATGGGCTCAAGTTAAAGGAAACCAGATTTCAGTTGAATATCGGGAAAAACCTCATAATTGTGTAAGAGTGGTACGACAGTGGAACCAGTTACCTTGGGTGTTGGTGAGGGCTTCAACACTGGAGGCATTCAATAAAAACTTAGATAATCACCTGGTAAATATGCTTTGATTGTATTCCTGCATTGAGCAGGGGGTTGGACTTGTAGGCCTCTTCCAACTTCACTTTTCTATGACTATGATTTTCTTATTCACATTGCATTCTGCTTGGGAGACCCACTGTCCTCAAAAGGTGCTTCGTACTTTCACAGTTTATTTGATTGAATTGGCATCTATATCTCTATCCGAGACCTCTCTCTTATACTTAGCCATTTAAAGTGGTGCAGAGTTCACTAACACAGTAGGCTGAAAATTAGATAACAATTTCCAATGCCAGTGTATCTGGGAGAGCAGCAATAATGTGTGTAACAACCCAAAAGAGTAATTTGTCAGTTCTAAAGGATGAAGAAAGGATTACTACTATTGTGCCTGCCCATGTAAATGAAGAATGTTTTAGAGCTCTGTAGCTATAGGAGACTGCAGCCAAGAAATCAGAAGAAAAATGCGACTCCAAGGATCGTAATAAATTAGGGAAGGTCATGAAGTGTAAGGATGTATAACTGGAGACCAAATCCAAGATCATCCATTCTTATGTTTCCAGTAACCATGTATGAGTGTGAAAGTTAGATAGGGGGAAAAAAGCTGTCAGAAAAAAACTGATTTGCTTGAAATATGGTGTTGAAATATGGCTTTGCAGAAACTCTCGACTGCCAGAAAGATGAGCAAATGGGTCCTATATCAAATCAAGCCTGAACCATCTGTGGAAGCAAAAATGATGAAACTGAGCCTGTCCTACTTTGGGCACATCATGTAAAGGCAAGATTCTCTGGAAAAGATAATAATGTTGGTAAAAGTTGAACGCAGTAGGAAATGACCACCACCGTATACAGGGTGGATCAATTCCTTAAAGGAAGCCACCACCTTATGTTTACAAGAACTGAGTAGGGCTGTTGAAGATAGGACATTTTGGAGTTTTCTCATTCATAGGGTCACCATAAGTCTTAGGCAAGTTGATGGTACATAACAACAAGCTACGGGCCAGAAGAATGTAAGCTTTCATTGATGTAATTGTAACCAAATGCATGCACAAGCTATTTCTGTATCCAATGTGGCATAGGGTGATGGTCTAGAATACCTCAGGCCCTAGTCCACATTCCTGCTCAGACACAGAAACTCCTTAAATACCTCACTTATCTTGAATCATCAGTATAAGGCAGTTGAGACAAGGCAACACAAAACAGACATGCAGCAAAATCTCCTCCCCCCTCCACCCCGCCAAACTGCTACCAAATTCATCTTTAAAGGAAGACAAAGAGAAGCACAACACATGTTTTGAAATATTTCCTTTGAACTGATTTTTCAGTACTCCTAAAAAAATTAAACAATTGTTATTTAAGAAATGGGTTGCAGAATGTCTAGGAACAAATGCTCGATAGAACAGGACTGGAGAACCTGTAGTTTTCAAGCTGCTGTTGGATTCCAGCTCCCACAAGCCACAGCATGCCAAATTCCTTGTAGGATCTACTGATTCCCCAGCCCCTTAGAATCTCAGAGAGCAGCTGAGGAAGATTGTAGTCAAGGATCAGGCACTCCGTTCCCTTTGTGATAAATGCCCTTTCTCCGATTAGCAAAATAAGTTACGCATAATTATACAGGGTGGGAGAATTCAGCTTTTATTGATGAAAACAATTTCTTCCATGAGAGGACAAACATGGCTATCCTCCATATGCGGTGGGCTCTATACATATCTTTGAAGATAAACAGATATGCAAGCATGCATCTACAGATGAGGCTGCACAGCATCTGCCAATTTAATAGCATTTGTACAGGTATCACTTTCCAGTAGCCACTATGGTTCTTTCACCAAACCCTTTCAAAATATGAAGTACAGATATAAGTTGCCATCTGAATGTAACTGGTTATAGGATATTGTAGCAAAAAAATAAGGGAAAGCGTTGATTACAGTCATTGAGCAAGTGGGCATGTCAAGGTAAAGCTGTAAAAAGGAGAAACTTGCGTGGAGGTAGCTCACACTTCTGTCAGTCAGTGGGAATATTTATTTATTTATTGCATTTATACCTCGTCTATCTAGTTGAACGACCACTCTAGGCGGCTTCCAACATATAAAACAGCATTATAACAAAATTTTTAAACATCAGTATACGAATTATCCAAGAAGAGAAAAGGGAAAAAGAAAAAAAATTATATATATAGTTTTTTCCTTCTGGGCCTCCCTTGGCGTCAGGCTCCTCAGATTTTGAAATACTGGGAAAGTGTCTCAGAGCACACAAAACTGGGGCACTCTGCTCTGCCTCTCACCATACTTAATGGAGTGCAGAGATTTAAGACAGAGGCTACTGTTTTTCACAAGTCCAGATGCCTGTATGTCGTTTTAGCCAGGCAGTCCCTTGAAGAAGGGAATGGTAAACCACTTCTGAGTATTTTCTAGGCCAAAACTGCCAGAAAAGGCTCACCATGTCAGAACTGATTTGATAGCACATGATTACTATTTATTAATTAAACTTAGCACAGTTGGAGGGGACAGATTTCGTTTTTTCCAAATCCCAGTTCCAGCTTTGTGTTTTTTTTTCTCTTTCTCTTTTTCTTACCACATATGCTTTGGCCTGCAATAAAAACTGCTACAACATTGCAGAACAACACAAAGAATGAAACAACTACTTCTTTCTCATTTGGGATATTGTGCTACCCCTTCTCTTTCCTTCAGTCCACCCCCCAACCACAGTTAAGAAGTGTTTACTTACTAGGTTCTTCGCGACAGAACTTCTCTTTTCTTTGTAGTTGTTGTTTAGTTAAGTCATGTCCGACTCTTCGTGTGACTCTTTTCTTACTGTATCCTAATGCAGCCTGAGCAAATCACATGTGACTTCACTGCTTGTAAACAAAAGCCAGCAAATATCAGTTTCCAAATGTTCTTTCAAAGCAGGACAAATAACATCAAGGGAAAAAATACTTCCTATATTACCTTAAAGTTAAAGAAAAAATTAATAGATAAATGGATTTGAGTCCAGCTGTCTGCCCTCTCAATCCACAAGCCTGGTGGATAAGTTTGCAATCGAAACCACTTTAGTATTAGCTCAGTTGAGAGGTGTGTCCTAGATCCAGGCAGTTGTCTTTACACTTCAGGTTCAAAGAATGGAGCATCCATGCCGAAAGTATCTCTCTCCACTTCTATGCAAAAGTACTCTTCAGTTTTTAAATGCTCCCACTCTGCTGGCTTTGCTAATGAAGTTCTTCAAGAGATCATGGTCCATTTCTGCAAAGCCTGGAGACTGAGTGACTACAGTCAGATGGTTTATGCAAAATCGAAAACAAAATTCCTCTAATTCCTGGGAATGAAATAAGTGTTACGTTAATGTGTGTTAGTAAAAATACGAATCTACACAATGAAACTATGAGCTGAAACGTTTCTCAAGCATTGTTTCATGTCCTGGGAAGCACCAAAGAATGAACAGCCAGGATACAAAAAATAGTGCATATATGACCAAAATCTTTTGGAGGCAAATTGTCCCAAGTTAAGAAATTATCACACACACTATCAGTTTCTTCCTAAATCATACAAGTCAGCATACAGCTGATAACGTCTGTGGTGATTCTTGGGACAATTCACCTCTAAATGTTACACCATCTGCACTATGCCAGATTTAGTAAGATATTAGGTGAGGCAAACAAAGTAGCTTTGAAAGGTAAGCAAAGTTTATGTTTCAAGGAAGGTTTTTAGAAAAGCAAACATACTGGCCAAAATCTTGTTGCTTAGTGTAGTAAATCACAATAGAATAGCCCTATTGAATTAATGGGGATTTGGCGAGTCAACTCTGTAAGTTCCATTGATTCATATGTAAAGTTACTGTAACTGCAACACACTTCAGCATGGTAAGATGCAGTTAGAGTAGGCTCACTTCAATCAAAGGAACCTGTGGAGGAGTTGGCCTACTCTAGTGCAATTTATTAAGCCAAGTAATAGGATTTTGACCACTATTTGGCCACTAGACCATGCAGCTTCTTCCACAATAACATGTGGCTTAAAATCTCTTTCTCAGATCTCTATTCCTGGCCGTCATTCTTGTTCATAATTGCAATTAACTTGTTCATAATTGCAAGTAATTTCAAGACAGTTAGAATTATTTAACAGTCTGAAAATGAAAACAATTCTTATGTAACATTTCTTTAAAAATGCTAATCAGCATTTGAAATTATCACTAATGTGTCATAAGACGGTGCCAGGACTTGGTGCTATGGATCCAGAAATATTAATCCACACAAATAGAGTCAGTAAAAGAAAAATCTCCACAATGAAAAGGCTCTAGCATACAGAGTTAATGAATCTATTCTTTTCATGAAATCAACTATGCTGTGCTATTAACAGAAGGCAAAACCACTAGTATGTCATCTTGGAAGATCCAGACAGACAAGACAGGAGGTAAAGGTTTGCTTCTTTTCAGGCAGCCCATACGTTGAGGTTGGGAAGCTGAATATATTTAGCAGCAAGAACAGACTGACCTCCAGATCCGTAAGATTAAATATTTAGCATTCATACAATGTTTTAGACATTTAGTTTTTCATATGCATTGCCTATTTCTAATCCTTACAAGAATCCTGTAAAATTAGGCCCACATGGCAGATGAAAGACCCTGGTTACAAAAATGGTGTCTGCTGAAGGCCATGTAGTCAGTTTCTCAGGGACAGAGGATGTGAAGTGGAGATCCTGATCTTTATTCTGTTTTGCAGTCACCAGCTCACCATTTCCAATATAAATGATTCCCAAGCATCTCAAAGAAGTCTCAACTGATAACAAGTATGAAAGGTTGCTAAATTAGGATTCTCCATACCTTCGCTTCGTATCTGACTGCTGCTGAAAGAAGACCAATTGCGTTCTCCTCAGAAATACCCTGCTTGATTGTTTGCTGGCATAGCTTTTTCAGTCGATTTTCTCGATAGAAGGTTGCCAAGTCCAGCAGACCTGCCAGACAAAACAAAACAAAACAAAAAAGAAAACAATGACGTTGATATACTTGAGTGGAAATACTTGCTTTAAAAAAAACATATATACACAAAAAATAGCCGCAAGGAAAACATTATTAAGGGGAAGAATAATTTAAGAAAAGAAAAAAAAGGCCAAAAATGCTAATATTCCAAAAATTTAGGAACAATGAAAATGTCTTTAAGGACATCAGTAACAAGAAACTGGCTAGAGAAGTGGTTGCAGTATTCAGCAGAAAAGGAGTACAAGGAACTGGAGAGAGAGGCTGAAATCCTGTTGCATAATTCACACTACATTTAGCTGATGACATTATTAGCTGTGTGACGATCACTCTCCCTAAAGAGATAATGATCTTGGTCAGGGTCTCTGTGGGTGCAAAACTACCACCTTTATTGCCTGAAGTGGTCCTTTAGGCCTCAGATGTGCACAGCACAAGCCCCGTGGACAAGCCTGACCTAAAAGAGAACATTTGCCTGATTACAAGGCAGTAAACCATTGACTATGTGCTTCCTTTCATAGCACAACAGCCTTGCCAGGTAGGACCTCTCAATTTACAGTAGCAACTATTGATCTTCTCAAATCCTCAACTGGATTTAGATGTAAGCCTGCTATTCAAGAGACCAGTCCTCTGTTGAAGAATATTTGTTTTTATGAAGAAAATAAAGTAGTTTCATTAGAATACAGTTGTAGCTTTAAGGCATAAACATTTGGCATATCCAATGTACAATGATTACATAAGTCTACTATTTCTACGTACAGTGGTGCCTCGCAAGACGGGCACTCCGTTTAATGACGAATCCGCATTACGACAAGGTTTTTGCGGTCGCAAAATGATGTTTTGAATGGGGGAATTTCACTGCACGATGATCGTTTCCCTGTTTCGGGAACTGATTTTCGCTTCCTAACGATCAAAACAGCTGATCATTGGGGTTTCAAAATGGCCGCCGTGTGCTCAAAATGGCTCCCCGCTGTCTTTAGGAGCCATTTTTCGCTGCACAGGCACCTGAAAATGGCCACCCCTATGGAGGATCTTCGCTGGACGGTGAGTTCTTAGCCGACTGGAATGGATTAACCAGGTTTTAATGCGTTTCAATGGCTTTTTTATTTTCACTTTACGACATTTTCGTTCTACGGCGATTTCGCTGGAACGAATTAACATCATAATGCAAGGCACCACTGTAAATAAAATAATAATAATAATAATAATCTTTTCTAGAAAAAACTGGGCTATTTCTCCCCCTTCTTCTCCTTCAACAAACCTCTCACATTCCACAACATCCCCCAATGATTATCAAACAAACTGCACATACATGAACCATTTTCTACACATCTCCAGACTTCTCTCTTTCTGACACCTTTCAGTTGTTAACCAATTAAGTTCACCGCCCAGATTTCACATGAGAAGATCCCAAGTCCAGGTGGCTTATCTTTCCCCAATAAAGCGGTATGTTGTTTCATCTTCCTCTGGGCCTCTTCTGCCTTGCTTCCTTATCTTCGTGTCAGGCAAAGTAACTCCGCACAACTATCTTACATTGCTTTTAAATTCATCTTATACAAAATAGACTTCATCTTTGACTACAAGTCCCAGTTTCCTCCTATTTCCTCCCAAGCTGTGTTCATTTTTTGGAAATTAAATGTTTCCAATTCCTGCACACTTCTTTTATCAAAGGAAATCATTGCACGTCATAGAATGGGGGAAGAAATCTTTAATTTCTGAAAATTGGTGCTGCTGGAAAAATCATCCCACTGCCAATTTTCAGAAATTAAGGACTTCCCCTATCTGGCACTGGTAAATTATTAAGTATCTCACATGCTTTGAAAGCCCTACAAGGGCCATCATAATTTGGAATCAACTTGCCTGCACATGACACTTTCATATCTTCATTTGTTTCTCAAGTCTCCAGCTCACAATTTCCAATAAGAAATGAGTGATCAAACACTATATCAGGTCCCACTTCACTGAAATGTCTCTAAAAACTTAATAGGTTAAGAGACACTAGATCTTAATAAATTTGCCTAAAAATAGCAAAAAGGTCACATTGCTATCATTCTGTTTCTTGCTTTTAAAAGAGAAAATATCTTACTCAGGGTAGTATTTCTGAAAATGCAGGTAATATTTCTAAAAATACTACCTAGTCTGGAAATGAAGGGCTGTTTTGTTAGGCACTAGGCAAAGGCTTTCAGCCTGGGTCCATCTACCTGGACAGGAGAAAGGCTCTACCTTGAACCACAATTGTACAAGGCTGCCAACTCTCTGTATCTGAGCAGCTTTTCAACCTTTAGGCTAGTTGAAGGATGACTCTAAGCATTTCCTCAGTTCAAGTAGACTCCTCATGCATCTGTGGTCTCACACTGGTTGCCAAATCAATCATATGATTGGTTGCACGATGCTGCTGAAATGGGAAATGCTTATGTGATCCCCATTCTGTTCTGCACAGGATACTGGCCACAGATGATTATTTTCTTAACGTCAGAGGCATTGAAACCAGAGTGCTTGTCTGAAACTAAACAAGAACCCTATTAATAGTAGGTATATTAGAGATCCGATTAACTTGCCATAGGTTGGACAACACAGTTCTCCCTAAAAGGGTGTGCATATAAAGGGAGAACGGAATATAACATAGAGATTTTAGAGTCCAATCATCAGAAAATATCACAGAAACAAACCCTTCTAGATAATCACTGTACCTGGAGGGTACCAGGGTCCTGAAAGAATGATGATCTTAAAAGGGAGAAAACACTGTATTAATCACTAGCATCCTCTACAACAAGGGTGACACCCATGCCAGGCCCAATTGCAGGTCTGAACACTCCTTTCCCACAAGGCTAGTATCTCCCCCACAGTTCTTCTAACTGGTTCAGAAAATCCCTTTGCGCTCTCTAGGGCACTTTTGCCATGTTTTGATGACCATGTCCCCAACAATACTTTAAAAAAAATGGTCACAAAAGGCATGTGGGAGATTTTTTTAATCCCATTTTTACAATAAAGATGTTTTGGGAATGGGGTTGCAAGAGTGGCCATCTAAACACTAAAATGGGTGTGTGGCAGCCCCCTCCAATAATGGAGGCATTCAAAAGAAATGTGGAAAACCATGTGGCAGATATGTGATTTGTATTCCTGCCCCTTCCAACCTCAGGATTCCATGATTCACCTCACCTCTAGAGACTTCCCACCTGCCTCACTCCAGGATCAAGCTCTGGAGTGATATGAAGGGAGCGTGGAGCCCACGGCAACAGCAGAAGGTAAGTGGAGGGTCCAGCCTCAGGAGGCTGGACCCTTGTTACATCCACCTGTGGGGGGGTATTCATATTCATTATACGAATACCCCCCATCTCTATTCATGACTGTCACTGTGAATCTTGCTGATCTGCCACTGCATTTTGGCATCTACATATTTAATGGACTAATAACTTTCATCTACCAATATTGCTACAATGAGTATTATAACCATACTAATCAGTATAAAACTTATTAAAGCAACAAATTCACCTATCAAGCAAACATAAGACTGTTCAGTGGGTGCAAAGATGGTTGTGTGGTTGGAAAGGTAAACAGCTGGGCTACAACTATCAGCTTTAATTAGCACAGACATAAAGCTGCAACCCTCAAATATCTGGAGAGCCATCCTTTCGCCAGCCCTGCTCTACGGCCTTCTAAAACTAGGTCCTCTCTTGCAGCAAAAGCTGTGGAGATATGTTTGTTAATAATTCATAAAATTTGCGTTTATGTACTGCAACGGTGTTACCCTAAAAATGAAAAGTCCTTTTATAAAGAGGTGCTTCAGGAGGGCATTAAACGTGAAAGTACAATTGGAGAAATGCTCTGTGAAGATAGTTTATATTGCAAAACCACAATACCTCCTTTGTTTTGGTACAAAGCTACTGATAAGATAACAAGGCAGAAGTAACTAATTTAGTTTTGTGCCAGTTAGTGAGAAAGAGTAAACAACAGAAGAGTGATGTAATGTGAAACACAAGAGAAAAAAGTGAAGTACAGTTTAGAATGTGGCTTGTGCTTTTCCTATAATGTTAAATAACAGAGGCCACAAAATATGTGGAAACGTGTTACGCAAATAAGAATACCAATATAATTATACAATACAAGCTTTCACAGATTATAAAAGAAGAAAAAGATGAATGTTATTTTAAGCAGTTTAATGATACACAAGTAGAGAAAAGAAAGAAATGTATCATTTGTTATACTGATTTGAAAAGAGGTAAATTATATATTATCCTATAACACCATCTATCAGCATTAATATGACTGCATCTCCTGGCATTAATTCGTTGGGGGTACCAATAAGCTACCTATGCTCTTGGCAGGGTTACTGATAAGCTATGCTGCCATAACACTCCCTCACCAATAAGCTACATCAACTGGTCACTTTCATAGCACTGTCCTATACAAGCTATATTGGCCTGGCCTTGGTTTGGTTAAAATATAAATACAAGATGAAATCACACAAATACTATTGAATGAGACATGTTGGGAGACACACGTCGTTACTGAATGAAGACATCTTCTGCAAAGAGGTTGTAAAACATGGAACTGATGACAGGTAAACATCTTTAGAGCAGCAGAAAGATAAAAATATGGCACTGACAGCCAGCAATGGATTTTACACAAGGTTAGTTGAGAAAAAAAATTCAGTGTTAACAAATAATATTGCTTAGGGATTTAGAAATTTTCATCATTTTGTATTTTCTTAATATATGAATTTTTAAGGAAGCCTTTAAAGTTATATTGCTTTTTATTTTGAAATGATGTATTCTAGAAATGCATTCTCTAACTTTACAGGCAAAAAGCTCCTGTACAGTATTTTATATTAAAATGCAACTTATGTTCAATTTTCATATGTTTAAGCATCTGCACCTACGGTTTGTTAGTAACTGTAAGGATACTTTTAAAGCAACATGCCTGTGAGTTGTCAAAAGTTACATGTTATTAAATACTTTTGGATTATATGTTTTTTCATATG